GTCACAGAACCCCCCGAGGATGATTTGGACCGTCTCGGTTTTAGTTTTCTGCTCGTCTCAACTTGCGGCACGCGCTCTGTGACGCAACTTGACCTACTTTTCCAGTAAAAAAAAAAAAAAAGAAAGAAAGAAAATCAAAAACACTCACAGGAGTCTTCTCAAATGGTGATAAGAGCTGCAGCTGCTGCTGCTTTAGGTCCACCCAGCTTTGCCCCCCCTGTCCCGTCAGCTCCCACCGACACCTGCGCAGGTAAACAAGGCGTCAGCTGCGACACACACCGAACATGGCCGAAGCTGCAGCGGGGTTCGGCTCGGCGTCCAGGGGTCTCCGGGCCTTGTTCTTCATGCTCACACCGAACGAGTCGTCCTTCCAGGAAGTAGAAGAAGTGCCTCAGTACGTTCAGCAGGTGGGTGCAGCCTCTACCTCCGACTTTAAAACACTTTGTCAACAACTTACAGCATTGTTTACATTCTCTTGTTTACTTGTAAACAACCAGGGAAACCACTGAACCCAATTACCTGTATATTAAAAATTCATGCACTCAGAAATCTTTAAAATTAGGCCACACAAATATGATGCTCGTTTGCATAATATCTGAACCTAGAGTTATATAACTTTATTAATTATTAAACATTTTACAATATTGACAAAAAATTCATTTCTGAGTTTTGACATTGGAGGAGGGGAAAATAAAAAGAGAGAAATCAGCAATACTTATATATACTTCCAGAAAGTATCAAACAAAAAAGAAGCTGTGAGAAAATTATTAAATTATGATTTGGATCACTTAGAAAATAAAGAAGAAATTTTAGTTTGTTTCAAAGTTAAAGCTGAAATGTTTAGGTAAAAAAAAGTCTAAATAGTAGAAATAAAGTGATATTGAGAGACACCAGAACACAGTCTTTTCATGTGACTAACCAGATTATCTCCTGACCCTTAGAACTATTTCAGATTGAGATTAAGTTTCAGAGCTGTCCTCTTATCATTATCTCCTGCTGTAAACTGACGGTGTAATGTTTTTGAGTGTCTGTTACCAAAGTGCATCCTGAACCGCTGGGCAAATGTTATTAAAACCTGCAGAAAAATAATCACTGGATAAASGTTTACAACTGATTAAACTTTTAGTTTGTGTTAGAAAATACAACTCAGTTTTACTGAGAAACAACTGGGTTCAGGAGCCAAAAAGGATTTCATTACGTTTTGAAACACTAGTTTGACTTCATTCTCAATGTTTTGACTCTAATATTTAGTGAGAAACAAAAACTAATATTTTTTCCTTGAATGATCCTAATATACATTTCATC